TACACCTGACTGCCATGACCTCTCAAATATAGAGTTTTGCTTTGATCAGTTAATTCTTCCCATGCTGATACCTGTTTTCTCTCAGCAAGGACAGCACTTTAAGGAAGAAGCAAACACTTTGAGGGCTAATGTCATGCTCAATAGTCTTCGACCTTGTGGTTAGGTTTAAGCTCATTATTTAGAGTGGAAGTGCTTGGAGGTAGCAATCATGTAAAGCACGGAAAAGTCTTTTGGATGATTTTATCTGTCCTATGTCCTTGTCCCAGGTAAACACATACTGAACCCAGTAACTCAGTAGTTAGCTTGAGTTTTGTTAAATAGTGTGTATGTCAGCACTGCAAAACCTTTGTCAAAGTTTTTTTTTTTATTTTTAATATTAGCACAACAGAAGTGTTGATACATCAGCATGAAATAAATGGACAGTACAAAGTGCAGCATGAGGGAAAAGATGCAGTGTAAGGAGGCCTTTTCAGGCTCTTTATGCTGTTGTGTTAAAAAGCTCTTTCAAAGTGAAAGTGTCAGGACAGAGAAAACGTCTTGGACTGGGCATAGTTCCTCATCAGTTTTGGGCAGCTGCGTGATCTCTCCACTGCAGTCTTGAATATCTGGGAGTAATATACCAGCATTCTGGCCTATAATTGTAATATTTTGATTGTTTCTTACCTCTCACTGTGTAGCAGAAATAAGGAGTTTGGTAAGAGCTGCTTGCTTGTGCTTGCCTGAAGAGCAAGGTGATGCAGACCAAAGCAGAAAGCGTCTTGAGTCAGCAGAGTCTGTACTCTGCACCTTGCACAAAGTTTAGCAATCCACAGGAGAGTAATTACCTGTCTCTTGCTAGGTAAGAGATGGGTAGTGCTTCGCTACCATCCTGAAGTAATAATCTTTTAGACTCAGGTGAATGCATTTTGCAAACAGAGCTACTTGGATTTTGAATGGGATTTCTCTGTCTTCTGTCTTGAAATTAATATTTGTTCTGTATCTCTCCCAGGGTCCTGATTCTTCATCTGAAACGATACAGCTTCAATGTAGCATTGTCTCTCAATCATAAAGTTGGGCAGCAGGTGATTATTCCAAGATACTTGACCCTGCTTTCACACTGTACAGAAAACACTAGGCTGCCGCTGACACTGGGATGGAGCGTCCATTCTGCCATGTAAGTGGTTAATCTGTGGCATGTTAACCACATGTGCCACAAGGTAGGCGCCTGTCAGATCTCAAGAAGGTGGCTAGGCAAGGAAATTTGTAAAACTATGCAGCTTCAGATGTATGCTGCTAGTTTGGAATGATGCCATCATGTACGGAAAGGGAGCGTAATAGAAACAGTAGGAAGAGTTGGTGAGGCATTATCTAGGGAATATTTGGTAAGGTAATGTTCTTCACTGTCCTTGAAAATAACTTTCTGCCCTTTTAAAGAGAGCTCTTAGTAATTTCTAAAATGTATGCCTCTTGGTCCAAAATAATCTAGATTGTCTTTCCCTTCACAGCACACTTAACTATTTAGAACATAATACATTCTGCTTTTTTCTGTGATTTCCACTTGCACCTCCTGTGCTATCATTCTTCTTTTGTCTGTCCTGTGCTGCTGCAGTATCTGAGCACTTCACAGGCTGAAAATACTCTCTCCTTTTCCCTGTGACAGTTATTTCTGTGCAGCTGCTTGTCCTGTGACAGAGAGATTAAACGCGCCAGTTGTCACATAGGAAGTATGTGGCGGAATAAGGAACAAGAAGCCCTCAGGTCTCTTATCCCTGCTTAGTGACATAACCACAGTGGCTGTAGTGATGTATGTTCAGCAGCGTGGCGCATGTTCTTGTGCTCACCTTTCAGTGATGTTTGAGACTTACGTGGATGTTTCACAAGAGTTTGCTTTAACAACAGAAACCTTAAGCCCAACAAACAGCTTAAGCAAACCAGAGCAGAAATATTTGAAAATGTGTTTGAAATAGCTTTCCAAAGGTGTTTTGTAGTCATTGAAACCATTCTGATTGGTGTCAGAGTGAAAGGGTGGAGAGCAGCAGCCTGATTTGAGGGGGGAGATTAGTAGAGATTCCTGCATTGGCAGCCAATCTGGTGGATAGGTGTGTAGTGATAGTGATGGAATTTGAGGAGCCCGTGAAAGGATTAAACAGAGCAGGAAGTTTGTTCAGAAGAATCTAGGTAAGGAGAAACGGAGGTGTGGGACATGCCAGAAAACCGGCTGATCCACACAGCAGCAGCAGACTGTGGTTTGGGAGCAGGAACTCAAGTGTTGGTGGGAATAAAAAATAAAGGAATGAGTTGTCTTGACATGGGAGCCCAAAGCCTTCAGTTTGTGAGCTTGTCCCTAAGGGTTCATCACTAAGAAGTGAATCAAGTTTAAAGGATTATATATGGTTTTGAACAACTATTGTATATTTATAGCATGATGGAGTTATTACTCTAAATCTAAGCAATTAGCAAGTACAAAATGGCATTCTACTTGTTTCTTTGGTCATGGATTTGCATGCATAGCAGACAAGTAAGCATTTATTTTTTAAGACTGTAACTGCTGCAATAAATACTTTGCTTTTTTTAATAGTTCCCGTCCATTGAAAGCCTCCCAAATGGTGAATTCCTGTACTGTAAGCACTTCCACATCTTGTAGGTGAGTTATAGCTCTGAAATGCCCACAGCCTGGTGTTTCGTGGGATAATTCCTAAGGCATTTTAGTGTTTTCTAATTCTTCTTTAATCTTTCTGCTTTTTCTATTTGTTTTCTTTCTACTTTCTTCTATTTTAGTAAATTATTTCAGCTGTCTTTTTTCACATCACATTTTTATTAGTGTTACATGCTAGCTGAAATTAATATTCATGGTGCAATTTGCCTAGTTGAAGTGGTCACCTTAGCATTTCTTTTGAGAACCTTTCGGGACTTGTAAGTTAGCAAAGATGACTTTTTTGTTAGAAGGCTGAGCTTCAGAATGAGAACTGGATTTAGTTGGTGCAGATGATTTGGCAGTGCCAGATCTCTTAAACTAGCTTGCATTTTAGTTTCAAGTCACATATATAAGAAGCAAAGTGGTTTCTAATTCTGCAGTACAGCTCTTTTCTCTATTCTGGCTCTATGGAGCCCCAGTGTGTGTTTTTGGAACAGGTGGTGAGTTCCTTAAGTTTATTTGCGAAGATGAGAGGATGTTGCTTTTATAAGCCATTTTGGAAGGCCAAAATTTGATACAGTGCAAAATGTGATATCACACTGCATAGTTTTGCATAGTTGGACTACTTAAAGACCAGATTTCCTAATTGAGCAGAAACGGCGACTTCCTCCAGCAACCTTGTCTTCTGTTCAGGAAAACTGAAAAACTTGTGCAGCTTTGCACTGTTTATGTCCTTGCAGTGATGTGGGAAGTAGCTGTGTCCAGCTTAGTAAACTTCAGAAGTCAAATGGTTTGTGCAGAGTTCTATATGCTGCTGCGGACTTGACTCAAATGGGTACTGTGGGGGATTGCAAGGTAATGAAGTGCAGAATTTTTGGCCTTAGAAACAAGAGCCACTCACTTGGTAACTTTTAACATAAGTTACTGTTGCAGGCTTGAAGTTGGTATGTCAGTTACCCTAGTAAAACAGACCTTTTCTGAAAACCGGGCCCACTGTGTTAACAAATTGTCATTGTCCATCGTTGCAGTTTGTTCCAAAAATTGTCCTACCCCACAGTGTGAAAGTTGGGTGTAACACTTCTTTAACAGTTACTTTGAAACAGATTTGTACAGTGCTACAATGCTTTAAAATTTTACAGCCATGTTTTTAATTTACAGAAAATACACTTTCAAGTCAAACAGTTCTGCAGCACTCTATGCAGATTCTGACAGCGATGATGAGCCGTTGAAACGCTCCGTTGCCCATAGCCAAAGGTTATGTAATGTACAGAGCAGGGATCAGCAACAACTACAAGAAGAGCCCGAAAAGGTAAGGGGAAAAGCACACTTTCATATACATAGATCCTGCATGTGCTCATATCTGGCCTGTGCTTCTCTTAGCACAGACTGTGAGCAAAATTGATATAAGATACGGGGGGTTTTTTCTCCTAATTAGCACTGCAGTGCTGGAAGGGAGTGCTTTCCTAATTGACTTCTCTGTACTGTTGCTTTGGGTTCCCACTGGGAACAGAGGTAATTGCATTGCAACTGCACTTGAGTTTTCAAGTTGTGTATACCAGCTGCTTAGCAGTTTTGTCAGTCCTTTGGGTAATTTTCATTAATAACGTTCCCAGGCTGAAATATAATGGGCTGTAAATGATAAAATCATGCAGTAAAGCCCTTGATTAAATCAGATCCAGTACAAGTTGGGCTGAGCAAAAAATTCAATTGAGAGAACTTCTCAGACATCCAATCTGTGTCCCCTTTCAAGTGTGGCTTTTCAAATGCTTTTAGAAACTGAATCTATCAGCCTTTGGGGGCAGACGTGGAGAAGTATGTAGAGACCAAGTTCATTGGTGTGACAGCGCATTTAACTTCAAACTGCCTATAAGCTCTTCATTGTGACTAGTATTAATGTCACCAAGATATTTTTTGCCTCTATCAGGGCAGTGCATTAGCAGGTAGATGAGTTGTGTGGGAAAGGAATGATGACCCAGAAGAGAAAGCAAGAAGCTTAGAGGATTATCTTGCAGTACCACTTTCTTCTATTAAGTGTTGCAGGCCTAGTGCTTAGGACCAGTGTCCTGCATCTCTGCTTCTCTAAAGTTTTTGACAATGTTAATGGGGTTATTTTAATCAAGCAGATACTTGTGGTCTTGATTATGGTATTAAAGGGCAAGTGTAAAGCTGGCTGAATAGCAGTAGGTAACAAGAGGAGAGCATGTATGCTTTCTGATGGGATGATCAACGCAGGGGAGGATCCTGATTTACTCAGTAGTTAATAAATGATAAAATAGGAAGTATTAAATTTTCAGAAGACCCAGGGCTGGGAAGGACTGCCAGTATGATGAAGCTCAGAAATACTGTTAAGAATAATCTTGACAAATCTGAGAAATTGCATAAAAATAGGGGGGTGGTTCAGGAGGAACAGGCTAAAGGTGCTAATCTTAGCAGGGTAATTGGCTGTAAATGCCAGATGGGAACAGCTGGGAAAGCAGTGAGCCTTCGGAAAGGGCGTGAAAGGTTATGGTTGGTCACAAGGTCAGGCTGCTTGAAAACAGAAGCGTATAGACAGAGGTGTAGCCTACAGGTTGTGTGAAGTAACTCTCCTTGTTTCCTCAGCATTGAGCTTTAGCTGGAGATCTGTATCCAGCTTTGGGCTCCAGGCTGAAAAGAGCTATTGATGAATTGGAGAAGGGCCAGAGGAGAAAGAGATTTTGGGAGAAAGAGCAAGCAAGTGAAGTTGGGGCTTCAGTTTAAAGACAAACCTAAACAAGGCTTGTGTCTTCAAGGAAGGGAAAGAAATGAATATAAATACTTCTTGTTTTCCATGCTCATGGTGGATAGAACAAGAAATAATAGCCTAAATTGTAGACAGTAATTTTTAGATTAGATATTAGAGCAAACTTTGTGATGCTTAGAATGTGTAGGGATGGAATGGGATGCTGTTCGAAAAAGCAGAAAACCTGTTGTTGAAGGTCTAGGGAACAGGGTAGGCAACTGCTGTCCTGCATGGCCCATCTATACCTGGCTGTGAGCAGGGAAGGAAACTAGCTTGTCTTTGAAGTCCCTTTTATGTATAGAAAAAGCATTTCAAACTGTCCTAAATTATTCTTCCTCAAGTTTTGTTTGTGAGGAAGTGTAGGTAGTCTCTATCACCAGACAAGACCTGTGAGTGCAGAAATTGTGGGAATGCAGCCTATTAATTTGAATAGCAAATTAATTATAGGCTTTCCAGCCTGTTGTGGGAAAGAGGCAGTGGTGGTGATGATTCCATATAAGTGACTTCATTCGTTGTGGCCATGCATACTGGCCACTCTTTAACCACAGGCATGACCAGCCATCTGTTACCATTAACCAAATCCTCTGTGCTTCTCAGTGTTGTCCTGGGAGGACCTGGACCTGGTCCTGGTCCTTGTAAGTGGCATTACTGCTGCTGCACCATTTCCGTTGGTGTGCTTCTCATAGCAGTTGCGGATGGGGTTGCATTAGAGGCTTGGCACTCACTTTGTAGGGCTGGTATATCCCCTGCAGGGCAGTGCTTGCAAAACAGTCGTGTGTGTGAGAACAGCTGGAACAGTGGGTGTATGCAACATTGGGTTGTAGGGGCAAATAGCAGTCATCCAGCTGAAGTGGGCAGAACTGTGATTTTTGCTTCTGCAGATGAAGTAGTATTTGAAGTACTTTAAAAAAATACTTATTTAAAGCAGCCTGTCTTGGAGCCTAAGCTACTTAAAATCTATGCAAGTAATTTCTAATAGAAAAGTTGTATTCAAATAATGCACAGATGCTGCCAAGTCTTTAAAGTCCATCTACTGAAATAGTGGTAGTTGTTGGCAAAGTGCCCAGAACTGGGGTTTGCTGAAAAGCTAAACCAGTTTTGACATTAGTAGCCTACAGGTGTAGAGAAATAATAAAGCTTAAAAAGCAGGTACTCTGTTTTCCTTATTCAGTGCATGAATAGATGTGAGGAGGTTTGAATTTGTCACTTCTAATTCTCAGAGGGCACGATGTCTAGAGCAAGCAATTTAGTTGGCCAGTTCATTTGCTGATCTTGTTTGATAAGCCAATTTTAATGCAAAATGTTTGTTTTATGAAACTAGTCTTGCTCCTCAAAAATTGCTGTATTGAAGTAAAAAGCAGTAATAAAAATGTATTTTTGTTCATTTTATCGAAGTTCTGAGATCTATCCATATGCAGTTTGGAATAAGTCCTGGTTAAGTACATTCTGATAAAAACTGTTTTCCCTCATTTTTACATACTAGAAGGAGAAGCGTATGCTAAGTAGTGTAATTATGTAAATATATGTACATGGAAGTTAACCTCCTCATTAACAGTTAATATAAAAATGATTGAAATAACTATATTAGTTGCAAATCAGTATGATGTAGGAGTTGATGAGCATCAGTTTTAGGAAAATAACTGAAAAAGGAAAGATTCAGATTAAGACTAAAGAGAGGTTTTTTTCTTCCAATTAAAGTCATTCTCTTCTCCTAAGGAAAGAATAATTCTCCCCTTTCCCTGGCTAACTGTGTTCTTATTTGACTTGCAAAGTCCTGCCCCTCTCCTTCCCCCCCTCCCCCCAAGATTTCATATGGCAAATCTGCAGCACCAAACTTAATTTTAATTGCTCTTCATACCAGCCTTATGTCAGTTCCTATTGTTCCATCGCTATGTTCAATTACTCTCATGTTGCTGCTTCACCCTTTGTTAACAAACTTGCAATTTCACTACTTGTGCCTCATCACTGACTTGCCAGAGGCTTGAGGATTCATCAGAACCTAAAGGTAGAACACATGTGTTGAAGGGAAGAGTTATCTTTTGTATGCTAATCCACAGGGCCTGTAAAAACTTGGTTGTAGTTTATATTTAAATATTTTTTATTCACCTTGAAGTGAGCATAGTTACAAAGGTTGTCTCTCCACTGAGTCTCCTGTAACTCTGTTTAATGTTGACAGAGCCAAGCTCCCACTCCCTGGGGTTAATAAGATAAAACTAGATCTCCACAGAAATCTAAAGCTCATGCTATATACCTGTTTATTCAAGAATTTAATCATAATTCCATTCATCTCTAGGGTTCAAAAAAAAGTAAAATGGAGAGTGATAAACCTGAGCTGGGTAATGCTGGTTTTGATGGGATGAGCGAAGATGAGCTGCTAGCAGCTGTCTTAGAGATTAGCAAAAGGGAAGCTTCTCTGTCTCTGAGCCATGATGAAGATAAACCCACAAGCAGCCCAGACACTGGGTTTGGAGATGACGAAATTCAGGAATTGCCAGAAAGCCTGGAATCTATGGAGATGGAGAAACCAAAAGCAACATTAGACTCAGGTAAGGCAAACTACCAACCTTAATTGGACTATAGCAAGCTAAAGTGGGTTACTGATAGCATCAGGTTAGTAACGCATGGTGGCAGAATCTGGATGCAAGTGCACTGCTGAAACTGCCTGACTTCCTCAGTTTCCTTACTGTCGAATTCATTGAACTGTGAAAACGTATTTTCTTGTATGTCTGTCACCTCTCTCATAAAGGTACGCTCATCTTCAGAGTTAATTCCCCCCCCTTTTTTTTTTTTATCTCCTGATTAACATGTTTCCACTGGTTCCTGTACCAGACAATTCCATTTACTAAGATTTGGCAGTGTCTGGAACTTAATCTTCCATAATCAGGAAGCATTTTCGTTTCTGTAGCAGTTGAAGCCAGGACAGCACAGTAGCAGTGTTTACTTTGCTGGTGTGCAAGATTGATGCCTGGGATGCATAAGACTAGAATGCTTTCGTAAATGCAATTGTTTTGTCACTAGTTACTAGTGAATTTATCTCTGTAATTTTTTCTAATACTTTCTAATGTGAGAGTAGACCTTGAGCATAAGAGACTTGGCATGTGAATTATGGCCTCTGACCCAGAAACACAGTTAAGTACAAGAAGGAGCCTGTTTGATCTCAGTGCAGGGAAACTGTCTTCCTTCAGTTGGCTGAAGGAAATTTAAGTGTTTATCCATTTGTAGTGTGCTACATGCTTTCAGACAAATCTTAAATTCCACTAGCTTGGAAAAACAGGCCAACAATATGCTCTCCTTCTCCTGTAAGAGTCAGGAGGTTAATTATTAACAACAACAATCACTCTATTCTCAAAAATCACACTCGTTTCAATGGACAGCTTTCATGTTGGAAGGCAGTGTGTAAAGAAAACTAAGTCTGTGGTCAGCCCCATTTGTGCCTTCCTTAATGTACACTAATGTTGCTTATGGCTGTGTGAAGGAGAGGTGTGAATGTGGCCACATAAATGTAGCTATCTCTAGGTTTTCTTTGGAAAGTATAATATAATTATTTGAAGACTCTATTGTGACACTTAAGTAAAAAGTATGTTTTTAATAAAAGTTCCTGTATTTTCCGATTAAGAATGAAGTAAACACTGAACATTACATCACACTTCTTATATTTGACTGTCTGACTAAAGCACTGCTCAAAGCACACTGCTTGGCATTCAGATGAGCTATGTGTTTGCTTAGTTACTGGTTATGGCAGCTGCATGTAACATGCCCTGGGTTCACATTCCTGTTCTATTTAAAGGAAACTTAATTGCAAAGGATCCTTTGCTGTATCATGCAAGATGATTCTAAACATGCTGATTTAACCTGGGCCATTTCTTGTTACTGCTAGTAATAGTATTTTTTTGTAAACTCCGAATAATTTGTGGGGCTTTCAAAAGAAAAGCGAATTTAGATATGGCTGAGGATGGGGGTTTTTGCTACATGATCCTTAAATAACAGTTTTGTGAGTCAAGTGAGTATTTCTTCTTATGCTAGAAGCATTCAAAGGTTGTGTAATAATAAATTCAGTTTTGTTTTTCATCTTAAGAGGATTAGACTTACGGATTATACTTCTGGTTCTGGTGGTCTTGTGTTTAAGAGGTCACAGATACTGAGACTGCCTTGTATAATCCTAGCTAATAACAAATGAGCAGATGTTAAAGTCTGCATAGGGCAAAACTATGAAGTTTCACATGTTGCTGAGTGAAAGCTGTGGGAGCAGGTCCTCACTTTCTCAGCTGCAAGCAGATGGGAGAATCAGTGTCTTGCAGCTGCAGGAGATGTGTGCAGTGGTTGGATGAATGTTCATGCCAGAAGTTTTCTAAAATACTTCTACCACAGTGTTCTTTTTAAAGGTGAACTGAAAAGTTAGAATGTTCTTGTACTTCTAATGCTGTAGTGTTCACAAGATTAAGGCTCTTACCTGAAGCAAAAAGTTAACAAATTTAAATAGTGCTTGAGATCTGTGCTTCCCTCCATTTTACATATGATTTGGCTTTAATTATGGCTTCATCTGTAGCACTCTGAGGTATAATATGCTATGCAAATTTTTATAATCCATGGCTCTTTCTAGAGAAATTCAAGTGTAAGTTTCATGGCTGTAGAAACCTAGTGACATCTGACATCTTGCCTTAGTTAAAGTTGCTGTTTCTGAACATAAAAGGCCAAGAAGAGAAACAGGTTCAGGGATTAAGGAAATGGTTCATTTTACACCTGTTAAAATAAGTGTAAGACTGTGCTTTGGAGCTTTTTGTGTTTTGACTCTTGTGTGGTATTTTTCATGGTTAGTGAACTCTCCCTGTCAATAGATGTCACTGTGCTGCAAGGATTGTGGTGATTTATAGAGGATTTAGCTGGTAACAAACAGAAGACCCAGGAAAGCATAACACTACTTTCTGATTCCTCAGGTCCTGCCAATTTTACTGAGATAACTAAAGATTTTGATGAGAATAAGGAAAACAAAACTCCAGAAGGCTCCCAGGGAGAGGTTGACTGGCTACAGCAGTACGATATGGAGAGAGAGAGGGAAGAACAAGAACTGCAGCAGGCATTGGCTCAAAGCCTTCAAGAGCAAGTAAGAAATAAAGTTTGCTTCCTTGAGTTATCTTGCTCATCACTGGAAACGCAATGGCTGAAGGAAAAGCTGGTGTTCGGGCAGCAACTGCAGAGGGGTTCAGCTCCCTGGGGGTTTTTTTTGTTGGTTTTGGTTTTTTTTTTTTTTTTTTTTTGGTTTTTGTTTTTTTTTGAGAAAACCAGATGAAAAAAGGTTCAGGTTTCTTCTAGCTCTAGTGTCAATAGAGTGATGGCACTGGATATATCTGGGCACGTTTTGTATGTGCTTTGAAAACCACATATCACATGACAGACCTGCAGATTTCTCAAAGCTTTCCATGCACATTTATACACTGGTGCTTGTAATATTATATGAAAATGATGATAAACTGAACTAAACTCTTACTGTCTGTCACTGAGAACCAAGCCCACTTTTAGCTTCCCTGGCAGTTGCTTCTTGCAGCCTATCATGTCAAGACTCAATGAAAGAGGCAGGTTTCAAAGCAAATGCTAAGAATAATTATGCCAGGTCAGGTTAAAGATTTGTGTATCCCAGCACCTGATCTTTAGTACTAGCCAGCAGGGGATGCTTAGTGAAGAAAGAATATAGGAAGTGAGCATTTATATGTTTCTTCCGTGTTAGTAAATTGGAAAAAGGATCCCAAGTAATTTAGTCTAAAATCTTTAAATTAGACTTGGAAGGAACTGAGATCTCGAGTTGTGTGCTGGTAACCGTCTGTATTCCACTTGAATTTCAAGACCTGTAACTGATTTCCACAAGTTTAACCAAGCTGCTGAGAGTGAAGCAAGTGCTCAGCCAGGTCTTTTTTTTTAAATAGGTGCTCTTGTTTGCTCTCTATTAATACTAAAGCTGTCATGGTTTTCCTTATGAGATCTGATGTTTCCATGGCTCTTGGATTTTTCTCTCTCATTACTCATTATGAGGTGCTGGTTGGTATGTTCCATGCCAGATGTAGCTTTGATTCAGTAATGCTGAGTACTTTAACAAAGATTCCCAAATGCTTTAGAAATAGTGAGATAAAAGGCCTCATGCTAATAATGTAAAACTGCCCTTTGAGTGTTGTTCTGCTACAGTTCTGAAGTGAAAATCTGCTATTCTAATGATTCAGGCATGGAAATGTGGTAGCTGTGGTTATCTTCATTTGAAATACATAGTTAGGGTTCTGTGTTCAGGTGCACTGAAAGCATTCAAACCCTGAATTAAGGAGCCAGCTCATTAAATATTATTGACTGGCTCCTTGCAGCTCTGAGCTTTCCAAGAGTGGTGGGAGGAACAGGGGCATGATATTATCCAAAGATTAGAAGGGTTTGCTGACTTGAGGTTTCTTTGCTACTTGTTCATGGTAATATTTTTAATACCTGGTTGTTTAGTGGTGGGGATTTTTGCATCCTGCCTTTGTAAATTACACCTGTTACATAGAATCACTGGCTCTGCTCTCAAATGGCTTAAAAAGGAATGAAATCTGTCAGGATTTAACGACTCTGTCCTTAGCTGGCTTTGGGCAGAAGTAGTCTAAATTTTGTGGAAGTGTGAGGAGCTTTGTGTGTAGGTGACAGCTTTCCTTAGCGAAGGGTTGCAAATTCATTCAGATGCTTTTCAAATTAATGATCCAGGGAAAGCGTTTGGTGTTACTAGAGACTCGCTCTGCTGCATACCAAACCTCAGGAGCTTTGACGAGCCTTAATGAAGATTTGTCCCAGGTTCTGTTGCACAAGAACATTGGACTCTTGCTGGTTGCAAACATTCCTTCACACAGAACCTTTAATTTACAATGTCAGGTTTGTTGTAGAAACCAGAACAGCACAGTTTCAATGGAAAAAGAGCACCACAAGAATTTTAAACAGTGAAGTGTCTCAATGAGCTAAGTTTTGTTCTCTTCCCATTAGGAGGCACGAGAACAAAAAGAGGATGATGACCTTAAACGAGCCACAGAATTAAGTCTACAAGGTGAAGCTTATTTAACTTCTTTCACGATGTTACTTTTGAGGGAAAATAGATCTGTGTATATGAGTGCAGCTCCTGAGTGTCTGTAAGACAGCTGGGATTTCATGTTCTTTTGGTGTGTGCTTTGTTGTGTTTGGCTTTGCTCAGGTTAGCTTTTCTTGCTCTTGGTTGTGAAAGCAAATGCCAAGAAAAACAATATGAAAAATTATTTCAATTTTGTGAGTTTTTAATTAGATATATAGATACATATAAGTAATATATTAAATATATGTAATTTAATACATTAAATATATTGAATGTTTAATATTGATCTAGGGAGAGAAAAATGGATTGAAATTCTGCATTCCCAGCAAAAACAAGCATGCTAATGGCTCTAGTCAGAGCATAAGGATTATTTCTTACTTGCGTTGATATTTCAGTGCTAATTAACAAATGCACTGGCCTTGCCCAGGAAAACAAGTGAGTGCTGTATCTGAAGCGGGATAGGAGGGAGACAGACCTCACTGCGAGGTATAGCTGTTGCGGATGAAAATAGAAACCCAAAATACACTATCTATCTGCCTTCTCAAAATCCAGGCAGTGTGGTGAGCCTCAGGCACTGTTTAACATTTGTGTGAGGCTGGCATGCGAGTGATTTCATACAATCTGGCAATAGAAAAAATTCCCCTCCAAAGAGGGAGAGGGAGGGGTAACAAAGTCTTGTGTTAAGGTTCTTGTAGTTGCTCAGGCACTGTTAAAGATACTTGCTTATTACTGGGTCAACCTGTGTCTGTTTCTGAGGAGAAGCAAAGTAAGTTGAAGTAAATTGAATGCTGCCTTAGCATCCCTCAGCCTGAGTCCTGTCCCCTGATGATCTCTGGCAGACTGAATACCCAGTCCCTCTCAGGTCTGCCTTGATTCATGTCCAGGAAGAATTCAAGGCTAGAAATCCTTCCTCCTTCTGATTTGCAGTTGCTTAACTTAAACATGAGTGATGCCTTGTGCTTCTCCACTTGCTACTGTCTTCATTTGTAAGGCAGCGGCAGCAGCAGCAGTTGTTCAAGTTCATGTTGATAATCTCAAAGTTGTAGCTGCTAGTATTTGCCTTAGGAAGGCTCCCAGTGGTGCTCCAGTCAAAGAACCACTAGTTATCCAGGGACTGCTGGTGAAGTGGCATTTGGCAATAGCCATGGCAAGTGCTTCATGCAGAGACCTACCTAAGTGGCTGTGTTTCTTGGCTGCAGTCTATCTTACAGAGCCAGCAGCCCCAAGAAGTGTGGAAACCAACAATAAAATATTCTCAGCTAGAGGGATTCATCTATAAACTTCCTGAGAAGATTATACTAATCCAACGTCCGATGACTTTAACAGGGAAAGTAGTGTGAGAATCTCTTTGGAAAAACATCTCCATCATAGCCCACATGATAGTCTCTTTAAGGGAGGGGGCACGATGACACTAAACCCTGAGCAGTGTCCTGTTAATCTCAACTGCACATCCACCCAAGACTCCCCAGCTTTCATTTAGCTGGCGAAAGTGTAGCTACTTCTAATGAGTACTGTACCAATCTTAAATTAGTGGGGTAGCTGCAGAATCCCAGGAAGTTTGGAACAGCGTGTACAGGGAGCAGTGGTGCCTTCCGGCTCTTTACAGAAAGCTGCCTGCATTTTGCTCAGCCAAGCAAACTGGAAGTTCCTGCGGTGAGCAGCCTTCTTACCATTGAAAAACAATGAAAAGATGCCTGCTGCCAGCGGTAGCATTTTGATGCCAGTTTTAATTGAGAAATGCACTTTGTTATTGCAACTTATAGTTAAAACTGTAATTCATAGCTTTTTGTTGCAGAACACTACAGTTCACTCACCAGACTGTACTACTTTTAACATCGGTTCTGGCTGCAGACCACCAGTGCTCTGGAGCAGATTGGATGGTTAAATGCTCTTTTATCACCCAGCCATCATTGCCATAGCGGCCTTTTGTAAAAGTATGAGGGAGATGATGTTAAAATTAACTCTGTAGTCCAAGATAACTTTTTTAATTATTATTCTGACAAGTTGGGGAAGGGAGAGAGAGTTTTTATTTGGAATTTCCAGTATCTCATGCTTTCCTTAGAAAGGAAGCTTGAAACATTAGCATTTTGTTGTGCTTATTTATGTGGGTAGATGTACCTCAAACTGTTGTGAATTCCTGTGTGTGCCAAGGCTTCTCATGCAATATCATTGTTCCATGCTATCCAGAGTTCAACAGCTCTCTCCTGGACAGCGTTGGTTCTGACGAAGACTCTGGGAATGAGGATGTTCTTGACATGGAATATTCAGAAGCTGAAGCAGAAGAGCTGAAAAGAAATGCTGAGGTCTGATCTATGATTTCAAAAGCTAACTGAGATGTATAGCCCTTCTTTACCATCAGTTTAGTGTTGGAGGTAGTTTTACAGAGCAGGTGTAGAGTCTAGAAAGAGTCTCTCCTGTGGTGTTCTTTTAATTTTAAGAAAACAAAACAGCTGCAGAGACCCTCTGAGTTTCTCTAAGATATGGATAATAGTGAAAAGGAAACAGTAATTTTATACCAGAAATGTTCCAGTGCATGTAAAGCAATGGGCCTGAAATTTTTACTTACAGAGAGGACTTCAGCCAGCGTGGTAGTTTAGTTGCAACACCATGGGCTTCTAGATCCTGCACCACCAGAACTGAGAAGCTGTGGCAAGATCTTACTCCCATTAGGTGAAACCTAACTGTAACCTAGGCTGTGCTGCCGGCCGCTGGCACGCTCAGACTCCACGCAGCAGTGTTGTGAAACTTGCCTGCTTGCCTCGGTGGAAGGAGTACTGTGTAGCATGGAAAAGGTTAAGTAATTGGAGTTTCTTTGAGCAGTTTTTATTTTCTTGCAATTCTTTACCAATCTTCTTACCCTTAAACCAAGAGTTAATATTTTAAGAGTACTGTCAGTGAATCATATCAATAATGCTTCCTGATCAGAGAGCATTAAAAATTGCCAAAAGTCAATTACCATCGTTTAGTTTTATTGGCAGTGAACAGAGTGAGCATGTTTCCTGCATGCAGAAGGGTCATTGTCTGCTGACAGTTTACAGGTGCAGGATGAGAGAATCTGGGCTACACAGAATCATAGAATGGTTTGGGTTGGAAGGGACCTTAAAGATATCCGGTATTAGCTGTTAAATCTGTGTGCCATTATCAAGGATATTTCTTTGATATTTCAGAAGCGTTCCCTTTTTTGCCTTTCTTATGTTTATTTGGTAAATGAATTCTGACATCAGTGGAAGTCGCTCAGGAAATGGATGTTTAGAAAACTTTGCAGTGTAGACCTCATGTCAGCATCTGTTCTGAGGTCAGAGTGGCTCCCTTGCATGTTCATTGGCTTGCTGAAAGATTAAATAAGATGAGAGGCTTCTTCCCACTTCAGGAAGGACTCCTTGTTTGGTCTGATCCAGGGTGTCTGTTTCCGTAATCCTTGATTGAGTTGCAGCTTTGGATGCAATAGCCAAAGCTGGTATCTCGGGTATAAATCATCTTGTCCATAAGCTATGTAGGACAAGAGTGAGTGCCAAAAAGCTTTAATTGAACTTTGGTTTTTTAGACAGGAGAGCTTCCTCACTCCTATCGTCTCATAAGCATTGTCAGCCACATCGGAAGTACATCATCTTCAGGTAAAAGATACTGTACTTTATTCTTCATCTTTTACCTAGCTTAAAAATTCTGTAATACAACATTACCATACCAGGATTACTTGCAGAGAATTCAGGCACCAAAGCAAGTCTTCCATCATGGCTTGCTGGTGGGGAAGCAGGTTGAGGATGTCATGGTCCCTAACTGCAGCATGTGGATATACATACTGCTTATGGGGTCTGTGGAATTGCTTGTCCTTGTTACCAGCTCGTTGCCCAGGAAGGGTGGAGGGACCAGGATCTTCAGGTTCTTTAGCATTTAAATCTGATGTAGGTTGCTGGACCAGGGTATCCAGCTAACCAGGTTATTGGTTGAACTGCAGCATGAAAAGAAAGGTGCATTCTCTGTTTTAAAGGTCATTATATCAGTGATGTCTATGATATCAAGAAGCAGTCCTGGTTCACCTACAATGACCTGGAAGTGTCTAGAACTCTAGAGGCCACTGTTCAGTGTGATAGAGACCGAAGCGGCTACATCTTCTTCTATATGCACAAGTAGGTGTCTTGGGCAATTCTGGTGCTATCTGTGAGGAAGTGGGCTTCTTTTCTTCCTCCTCACCCTTCTGGGATGAAAAGTATCTCCGGGTATTTGTCAGAAGAAATCGTAGACAGAATTATATGCAAGAATGACAAAATTGAAGTGCTCTGACTATAGAGGTGTGGAATTGTATGTCACTAATATATAGGGGTCTAACAAGATACATTAAATCATTTTAAGAAGGGGATTCAGTGTCTCAGCTATGCATTTGTTGCATAATGGAGCAACAAACCGTAATGGAGCTTGGGTTTTTCCCTTAAGCACTGTGATATTTGTAAATGCCCTGTCTCTCTTCCTGGTGGTTGTGTGGTTGTAGCTGGTGTTACCTCAGGACACAGGTAAGATGAGGTTTTTAGACAGAAGTGGTATCTTTTCAGGCACATGAAACTGAAGAAGGGGTTCTGTGCTTGAGTTTGTCCCCTTCTTCTGTCTTTACTGGTTGCTTTAATAAAGGGTACTTTATTCATGTACAGGCTGCGTCCTGTGTTGCTTCTGAACCTTTTACCAGCCAGGAGTTATTTTCACTATTGTTACTGTTCTCTGAGGCTTACTACTGACCATAATAAATCAAAAAGTTAAAAAGAAGTGCTGTGGGATTCAAGGAGCCTGGCTTCAAGATGCCAGATAAAACACCTTCCTCTGCCAGGATCCATGAGCTTGAGGTTGTGGATTAAATCCAGCGGCTGATTTCCTCAGGGCTGTCTTATGTAGCAGTCTCTTTTTGTACCCACGTTTTAGTACTGGTCTTTCCCCTCTGTTCTAGGGATATCTTTGATGAGCTACTAGAAACAGAGAAAAATGCACAGCCACTTAGCATGGAAGTAGGAAGATCGGTTCGTCAGCCTCTGTGAAGAGTAAAACACCTTGTTCCTCCTGAGGAGCAAGGAAGATTCTGAACTTGTGCCAGCCACACAGGAGTAACAAACAGCTCAGGGCCAAAACAAGAGACAAAAGGTAGAAATATGGGACACTCAGTTTGCTGAACCATCTGTGCAAGTCCTGGGCCTGAAACACGTGTTTAAACCTTGACATCCCAGAGCGATCCTCCTGTGGTGAAGTTTTTATTGTTCCTCAAATAATTTTGTCAGCATGGAGCCTTAAAGAGTTGCATCAAGCCACAAGACTACAGCTGCTCATAAACTGATTTAAAATGAATAGTGCAAAAAGAGACTCGACTTTAAAAGCCCATTCACTTGTGAGAAGTGAGTGGCAAAGATTTACATATCACTTGGCTTTTTTGGTTTTGTTTTTGTTGGGTTTTTTTTGTTTGTTTGTTTTAATCTGAGAGCAATTTAAGCAATAGATTTGGTAACCTGGCGTGTGTTGTGTTAGTAATAGTCACTGGAAACCCAAATCACTGAGTATGCTTGTGCCAGTCATTTTTGGAATCACTCAAGCTGATGGGTTTTGACATCCATGGGTTTGGAAGCGCTCCACTGTTGCCCTGCGGTTCCAGGAAACAAACTGTTGGTGCTGTGGAATGTATTGCATACCTGGTGGCAGCTCTGTTGGGTTTGTTTTGTTTTATTTTACACTGTTCACTGTCATCCTCATTTATATGTGAGATTATATATGTGATTTCTTTTGTTTTACAAGTTCTATTTGATTTTCTTCATGAGATGGTTGCTTAAGTACTGTTCGGAGAGGAGAGGTCTGGGTGTGCAGTATTTCGCACGGAGATGACATTGCTTGGGGCTGCTCCAGTGTAACTCTGGGGGTAGGTGGACACCTGGAGCAGACTGAGAACAGTAGCAGGAGGTGAGCAACAGCCACCTAAAGAGCGTTCTAGTCTTACCTTTTCTGTGCAGGCCTGGGTCATTGTGAAACAGGAGTGGCGGGGAAAGGGTCTGCAGGGTAGCACTTGGCACTTGGATTGCTCTTGATTGAACCATGGTCTTGCCTTGGCCTTCTTGTATCCCAAGAAGAGAAGGTAAGAGAGGTTTTACTGCAGCTATGCCTCTGTTCTCCTTTCTAAGGAGTGCAGAGCGCTCAAACTGTGAAACTAAAGCAGGTGGAAAGCTTTCAGAAAGCCCGTGTTCAGCATTAACAGAACACGGTTAGGAAGAAGTGTTGTGTTATATTGGATTTTGAGACATGATGCTCCTTTGACAGCTTGTTTCAGCGGGGAAGGGGGGAAGCCTAGTCACTTCAGTTTTTCAGCACCTTGGCACTGATTTAGCAGGGGCAGATGTTTCCTTTCGCTGGCATTTACTCATTTCAGAGGAGTTGTTGCTGTTAAGCAGAGTAGTTGCTCTTGGTTTGGCCTCTAGTTCTGATATTTTTGCAGCATGAGTTTTAGAAGAGTAAGACTTTTTTTTATTAAAAAAAAAAAAAAGGAAACAAAACCAAACACTTTTTTTGCTGTTGAGATAGTTTCTGGGTTTTTTAAACTATCCTTAGGAGTTTCTCAGGAATAAATCAGCTGAAGCAAAGCAGACAAAACCATCGACTTAGGAGACATCAGGCACCTCTTTCATGGGCACTTCCACACTTCCTGATGAGCTGGCAGGGGGGTGCTACCTTAGTGGCCTCTTCTCACCCTTGTGCGCAGCAGGGACTGACAGCCATCAATAGTCCTCCCCAAGCCAAGGGCTTCTGGGGACCCCAGTGTAGTGAGAAGACTGACTGAGTTTGTGGTCCCTATGTCAGATGAGCCCGGGGGACCTGGTCAGGGTGGCATCTTTCTGGTGTCCGAGCTAGGAGCAAAGATTTGGTTGCAAACATGACAGAGTGTTTATCTTGTAAGATGCAGCCCAGGTGGGTGTATATGTTAATTTATTATAAAGCATTATACTTTTCTATTGTAGATACTAATTTGGGTAGGACTGTGGGCTGTGGGAAGAGGCAGAGACATGGGAGTTGTCCTTTGAACTGATCGCCCTGCGAATGTGACGGACTGCTCCGGCCAGAGGGCAAACCTGTTTTCCCCAAGCGCATCCTATGCTAGTGCTGTAAATAACCAGTATTCCTGTAGTGTCAGAAGCCAGATCTGCTTTTTTGGGTGGCGAGGTTATTTTTGCAAGGTGCTGCACTCCCATTAATTTATAATAAAAGCAAATATTGCCTGACTTTTCAGTGCAGCAAAACCAGGTTTTTGTTTCGGTCAAGGTGTGAAAGCTGATGCTTGAAACCTGTGTTCCTTGTTTTATGAAAAGTTCTTGCTTAGTATTCTAACCATTAAGAATTTGCAGACACCTGTTAATTTAAGCTTTTTTGTTTGGCATGCAGCAGCTCAGTTGCACCTTCACCCTGGCAGGAGGGTCCGTGGAGCCCCTTCTTTGCAGAAGCCAGCTTTTTCCCTGTCCAAGAGCGGTGGGGAGGCAGGCGGGTGTGTGATCCTCAAGGGATGCACTGCCCACCAGCTGAGATGTTCCCACCCTTCTTGCTGTTGCAGCAGCAGGTTCAATAAGGTTGTCCCTCTCATGTGGGATACCCATCCTGGGGTTTAGGTAGGTGGAGAAGTTCATTTGCAGTCCCTTAACACATGCAGGCTCTTCCCCACATGTTGGGTTGTGGTTAAACATTTACCTGCTCCTGAATCAGCCTACTTCAGTCTAAGTGTGATTCATCATATAAACACAAGGAACTCCCATCTTGCTGTTCCTCTCGCCCCTTCGTTGTTTGACTCTGGTAATTTGTCTTGATTTACTCCCCTAATCCATTAGTGTCACTGAAGTGGAGCTCGTGGTGGGGGTCCCTGGGGAGTCCCTGGCCAGTGAGGCTGCACAAGGAATCTTTACAAAGCAAGGAGTAGTTTCCCAGCTGGGGCAGCATCCTGACAGCAATGCAAGGAGCGGAGCAGGAGGAGTGGGCCATGTGGTCATCGCCTTCCACTTCTTGCTTGGTACAGCACAGATAACTATTGCTTGTACATCTTCCTTCCCATCCTGCATCCGAGGAAGGGCTGAGGGCCAGCCCAGCACTTCCTGCTGCAGTCACTCGGCATGAGGGGATCACTGTGCTTCAGGAAGGGTGGACTGGACTGGGTATAACTTATCTGCTTTGTTTTCTTTTTAATTGAGCTAATTATCCCTGTAAGCACCCGCCAAAGAGAGAAAAAGGGGGTGCGGGGCCCCTGGCAGCTGAATCCAGCCTTGCCTGGCGCCTGCCGGTTCCTGCCTGCACCCCGGCTTTCTGGTTCTTTACACTGTTGATGTGGAGCAGCACTTTTCTCTGTGTTTTAGCAGACCTGTTCCTCTCTATTCTTTACAGTTTTTGCTCTTGGGTTCCCCCCACCCCTTTTTAAATGATGTGTAGATAGATTTTTGTGAAATAAACACATCTTTATTAACCCTCTCTTGGTTTGAGATCTTTTTTCCCATGCTGCCTCTTTGACACCACAGGCAGTGGACACCTCTGCTCCCTGTTTGGCATTGGGACTTTGATCACATATCCCAGAACATTGTGTGTGTGTGTGTGTGTGTGTGTGTGTAGTGCCTCCCTGCACCTGCAAATCCCAGACTTCCACCAGATATGTGTCCCTGTGGTAGGACCCCCCCCACTGCCTCTCTGGCTTCCTGTGGATCCGAAGAAGGAAGATGCCCTCCTTCCCTCCCAGGGCAAGGACACACAGGTAATCCCTGGTGTCTGTCCCCACACACATGCCATCCCCTCAGCCTGTCGCTTGTTGCTCTTACCTTTGGTCCAGCATTTATTTACTGAGGTTCACGTGACAGCGCAGGGAGCGGCTCCAGCTCTATACCAGACCTTTAGCCCTGAGCTGCTGCCACCGGGGTGGGATGGGGCAGCCCTGACTCCCTAGGGGAACCTGGGTTAGCAACAGCTTGTGGGTTGCCTCCAAGTGCAAGGGGTAAAGGAGGGACCCAGGGAAAAGGAGCTGAGGGTCCTTCCCTTCACTGCCTCGGCGCCCAGTCAAGACCTCTGTCCCCCTGAGTGCCACCTCTTTGCCCAATAAGCCCCACAGCTGGGCTAAGCCCAGGGGTACACACAGCCCTGCTCTCCAAATCTGTTTTATTTAATACAAATAACAAACTGGGGTTGTCCCTGTGCCCAGACTCTGCCCTAGAAGAGTCCTTTGTCCTTCTTGAGCGTCTGTTGTTTCCACAAGGGCAGGCTGCCGAAGGCAGAGCGGCTCATGCCGAAAACAGCCTGGAAGTTCTCATCAGAGAGGTGGCACTGGGGGAGGAGAGAGGAGGCTGAGCTGAGGCTGGGGGGCTCCACCGGTCGTCCCCCCCCAGCAGACCCCAGCCATGTCTCACCTCCTTCCTGCTGGGATCCACACCCCGTGGCAGGTCCTCGGCTGCGGTGTTCACCAGCACATCCAGGGGGAAGATCTCCAGTTTCTCGGGGAGGAGGGTGGTGGTGGCGGTGAATACCTCTTGCCTGGATGTGAGCGCCTGGGTGGTGGGGAAGAGGGCACATCAGGGCAGCCCCATGGGCAGAGGCACCAGTCTGGTTAGATGTCCCATCACCCAAGGACTTGTCCTTGCAGCTCTTTGTGCCACTTGGTAAGAGGATGAGGGACTTTCTGCACCCCTTCCCACCCCTCTCCCTGTGCCACTTACTGAGGTGAGCTGCCCAAGGCTGCTCTCATCCCCCAGCTCGGCTCTCAGCTCCTCGTAGGATTTCTTGTCCTGGTAGGGGACAAAAGAGCTCAGCCCTGGGCAAGGATCAGGCAAGCTGCTGCCTGCACCCTGGCAGTGCTGGCTTCCAGAGCTCATCTGCAAAGGTCCCCCCGGTCTTTCCAGACCCCCTCTGTGACTCACAGCCCAGTTGAGAGGGTCCCAGGCCACAAACCAGCCAGTGAAGGTGGGGGGCTCGTAGCCCTGCTTCACCACGATGATGGGGGTGTCAAGATCACGCCCGCTGGGGTGGCTCCGCAGGTACTCCTGCACCATCACTGCTGCCGCCTCCTTCTCCGACTCATTGGCATCTTTCCCAATCCAGAAGAAAACCTGGAATGAGGACACTGTGTCCACCACTGGGGTGAGATGGGGCCCTCTGGGGCCATGCCTGACCCATGGCTGGGGTTACACAGGATTTGCCCGCAGGGAAGGGCACTGGGAGCCTATCTCAGCTAACTCTGGAGGAAGGGGATGGAAAGCATTTTCCTCTTCCAGCAAGGGCTAGTTAAAAATAGAGCAGGGACAGGGCCATGGGGGTTTCTAGCCTCCCATCCCACCGCCTCTGGCTGCTGCAGGTCCTGCACCCACCCTGGGGCCATCAGCTTGTGGGATCAAAGGTGCCCCC